ATACTAAGTTTTTTTAAGGCAATCAGGCAGACAACACGTATGCATGGACTGATGTATCTGCCCATGATGTAAATGCTTCCGGGGTGTCCCTCCGTCCTTGAGTACGTACAAAGATAGCAAGGTCGAGGTTTTGCCGCTTCTTTGGACGCCTAGTACACCTAGCTCATGGTGGCCCGCCCCGCTAGCAAAACAATATGACTCATGCTGCTCTCATCATAGAGCCTATATGAAACAAACAACGGGGTCCCAATCTCAGGAAACTATGTAGGTACATGTGATACTCCACCACCTTTTGTACTGGTTCGCAAGGGAGTTGACGCATGACAGCAAATGGAGCAGCCGGAATCGATCAGGTCAAGTTCTTTCTCCGCCAACTGGTTGCGGACCTGCCTCTAACCTAAGCATGCCCGCCTGCTGCTGTTGCTGCGTGTGTTGGACCCTATCCACCTTCAAAGACTCCAGATCACTACCGTTCGCCAGGCTATTAAACTCGAGCGACTTCGAGGGGTCTGTAGGATACTTCCTTTGCGCGAACGTCATCAACCGCTTCACTGACTGCAAGTACTTCCGCGTCGTCTCGTCGTTCATGACGTGCGCAATTTTGGTGGCCGAAATCTTCTCGCGGGCAGACCGGTCGTGGATACCGATCGACGTCGCCCCAATGGGCCACGGCGCGTTCCCAATTGCGAGCTTCACGTACGCATCGCTCGCGAGCCGGTAGTCCCTCTCTCGGCAGAAGTTGATGATCTTCATAAGCGACCCCCGGATATCGTCCGGCAGCCGCTTCTTCCGGCACAGCCGGAACATCGGCTCGAGGTACCGCTGGCACTGGTTCTGCGTCGCGATCAGCGACCGACCTTTGGACGTCCGGAGCTCCTTCTCCGGCATGTCGTCCAACTCCTGGCCCCACTCCCGCAATAACCGCTTGAAATACACCAAAATCCGCTCCTCGTCGCTAAGCTCTTCCCACGCCGCTTTCATCAGCTTCGCGTCCTTCCCACCGTCGGCTTCCGACACGCCCTCCCCCCCGCTCGCCTCGGCCCCGCTTGCGACCCCTTCCTTTGCCCCGTCCTTCACCGCTTTCTTCTTATCCAGCCCCCCTCCGTGCTTCTCCTTCCTGCGAATCTGGGCGATATCGTTCAGAAAGTCGTTCCGCTGACCCTTCATCAGCTCCTCGTCATCAGAGTCGTCCAGAAGCACGCCGGCGCGCAGGAGCTCCTTGAAGCGCGCGACGCGGGCAGCGTCGTCCTCACCGAAGATGGTGACGGGCTGTTTGAGCAGCCGCAGCCGCCGGCGCACCTCGGCCGGCTCGAGGGCGTCCAGCTCCGCCTCGATCTGGGCCAGTTTGTCATCTGCGGGCGGAGAGCGCACGTTCTGAGTGATTGACCAAAGGGAGGAATCCTGGTTACCGAGTATACTCATGAAACAATCAATTGCCCTCCACTGGGGGCAGAATTGGCAGGGGGGACCAAAAAGCAAGATTACCTACTTCACAAGCATAAGGACTCAGTGCTTCGAACCTTCAGAAAAGCAACAACAGAAGAAAGTGGGCAGTTGGGCTAGAAAGAAGTTAAAGGAGATTTGAAGAGGCAGAACAAATGTGCTGCATCTGAACCGAACAGAAACAAAGGCTGGCATTGTGGATCATCAACCAGGACAGAGGATCGATCTAATCAGGACACTTGTCGGAAGGAAAGATTCGACACCAGAAACGACTCCAGCTTCCAAGCAACTGGTCCTGGTGCAGCTCAGCCCCTTAGCTTCCTCTAGATCCAGTCTCGCTTGTTAGATTGAATCCTACAGTTTTTATAGCGTGTGGCACGGGATAGAGACTCGCTGTATAAGACTGTCCTGGCAGGCACTTGTGGCTATGCAAGACCCAGTCATTGATCCTCCAAATGCGGAGCCCAGACTTAGAGAGTGATGTAGAACAAATTTGATTGGCAAAGAAGGCAAAGATTGACGTTAATCGCAGCTTTTGAGATTGCCATTCCAATAATCCCCGAACTGAACTGCACAGGTTAACCTTTGCGGACAAAAGTGGTGGTACAACTGGTCAACAAAGACATAGCTATGGCGCAACTGAACTGATCTCAGAACCATAGCTTTATTCAGAGGATGCCGTGGAGTACGCCAGTGAGCCTTGGGGACCGAAACTCTGAATCACCTGTACGGCTACGGCTATAAACCCCATGAGGATGTAGCCAGAAGCACCCTGACAAAAAAACGTGCTTGCCCACAAAGGCGACCTAAATTTTGTAGTAAAAACTTCAACTTCCTAAAGGGACGCAAAAGTTTGCCAACCTGTCTTAGAAAACCCCTCATAAACCGTGCAATGCTGACAGCAGATTGCAGACTACCGCCTGCAATGTGACGGCTGCGACCTAAATGCAAACCCTAATCTGGGAAGTTGGAACCTTCGAAACCAACCCGTCACCACAGAAAGTAAAAAGACAGGAGCACGTAATGGCTCGCCAATTCACGCACAATTCTTGTGTAACCTACCTGCTTTCGATTTTGTCGTGGCCTCCTGCTTTGCGGCCGCCGCCTCCTGTTTCTCTGCTTCCACCCCCTTGGCCCCCGTCTTGTCTTTCGCTGCCTTCTCGCGCCTCTCGTCTTCTTCCTCTTTCCGCAGCTTCTCTATCGACTTCTGTTCCAGCTCGCCCCGCCGCACAAACTTCCTACCACCAAAGTCCTCCTGTGCGGCCTTGCGCTTCCGCTCCAGCTCCTTCTTCAGAAAATCCATCGCATAAAAGCTCTCCAGATAAGCGTCGTGCATTCAGAAGCTGCAAACTCTAAATCCTTTGAGCTCTTGATTGGGCGTGGTCACGTGCTAAAGCGCTAAGCTCGATTCTACCTGCAGCCAGAGCAACAAAGCTGCCGCCATGCAGTCCTGCATCGCTTTCCAAGCGTCCGTGGCCCCATGGTGCGTCACCACCCATCGACATTCCGACAAGTGTCAGTTAAAAGCCCGGTGGAATATCGACTAGCCGGGTTCCTTTGAGCGGACAGCTTGAAGTGCCTCCAAGAGGCTTCATCCCCGGGTAGAAACTTCTCGAAGCATCGAAAGCCAGGGTTGCGTTCCTCCGTTCAGCTTGTCCCTCGTGTCCCTCGTGTGCTGTGCTGCGCTGTGCAGCTAAGATTCGAGAATAGGCTTCCTTCCGAGTTGTCGCCTAGGCATCGAGCACTGTGCAGAAGAAGAATTCAGGCTTCTTTGGACCACCATTTTACTGATCAGGTTCTCGCAGACGCCAGGCTTCCCTCCTGCGCCTTCTGGCGCTGGTTAGAGCACGGGTAGTAGCGGTATAAGGTAGTGCGCCATCGAAGCGTGAATACGGGCCCGCTTGAATCGGATTACAACTTGTTGGTGGGCTTCAGCATCGATATGTCAAGCACCCCTGAAGCAGCAGAACAGAGTGGACCTTTCCGGGGGCGTGGGGGCAGGCAGGATGTGAGCCGGGGTAGTTTCGCAAGCAGGCCTCAGGCAAACCGGGGGCGCGGTGGAAGGGGGGGTCCAAGCCAGCAAGGGTCTTGGAGGAGCTCTGGGGCAGGCAGGGGGGAGGAAGAAAATAGGGGGGCAGAGCGGCGGGCAGAGGCTGAGGGTGGGGTGCTTGGAAGGCAGCCGCAGCATTACGCGCATGGAAGGGGGGGAGGTCGGCAGTCGGGGTTCCAGGGATTAAAGGATGGAAACGGTGAGCAGCGGGTCACTCGTCTTGGCCTCACTCTGATCGTCTAGACACACATGTCTTTTGCAAGTGTTTTGTCCTCTCCTTATGGTGGTGTTTTGAATCTCAGGGACTGAAAGGCTAAGGTGTGGTCTTTTCATCCAATCAACTTTTTTGCAACTGTTGCCTTATTCCATTAAAGTCGCTCTCATTGGAGAAAGCGGCTTTCTCTGGTTGAGCTTCATTCTGACGCCTCTTCATGACATGCAGGACACCCTGGTGCTTATGGTGGTGAAACTAGTTCTAGAAACACAAACAGGGGCAGAAACCCTTCAAGTTTGGACCGTCGGGAACCCTCTGACACCCATAACCAGCACCGGAAAGACCCAGTCGATGCCCCAACCCGCACGGATGGCCCACAAGCCCCCCGAACTCCGAACAGGGAGGAGCGACCCCCCCACTTTTCTGGCCGAGGGAGAGGTCACACCAGGGGAGGAGGTCGGCAGTCTGATCGGGGGGGCAGGTCTGGAGCGCATGCTGAGGCCGCCACCTGGCGGCCGCTCGTTGGTGGGCCGGTTGAGAAGTGGAAGAATGTACCACAGTTGGTGCAGGAACTGGAGGAGAAGCTGGCGCGCGGGGAGGTTGAGTGCATGATATGCTATGAGCAGGTGAGACGTTTTCTCCTACGTTAGCCGTCCGCTTATAATGGGCTTGGGATAAGCTTGTATCTTCTGCTATCTGCAGGCCTGAGTCCTAAGCAGCAATTTTGGTTGGTCTAAGAAAACTATTTCAAATTCTGCTTTTCTGGTCGTGCCTCAGTTTTGCACGTGAGAGACTTGGGAATGTCCTACTCTGGTTTGGGTGCCCTCCTCGTACCTTCCTCACTGCCATGTTGATTGTTGATTCCATGGTTTCTGCAGACAAAGCGGGTTTTTGGAGTTATTCTCGTGTTTTTGGAGTTCTTCTCGTGATCGTGCCACCATTATGGAACTCGTTAACCCATCAAAAGTCAGAGGTCCATTGAATGTCAGAGGTATACTGTGCCCCGTATTCATTGTGCCCCAAGAAGACAAGCTGCATCTTTCTGTAGAATGTGACTTTTAAAGCCGCTTTTCTTTTGCCCCAATTGCAGGTCGCGCGCGCCAAGCCCGTGTGGTCCTGCTCCAGCTGCTTTGCCATCTTCCACCTCCCCTGCATCAAGCAGTGGGCGCGCGCCCCGTCCTCCTCCGCGGGCCCTGAACTCGCTTCTGCCAACCAACGACAAGCTGACACCTGGCGCTGCCCCGGCTGCCAATCCCAGCAAAGCACGAGCGTAGGCAACCTCCGGTACCGCTGCTTTTGTGGGGCGCGAAATAGTCCTCCCGACGATCCTTACCTGACCCCCCATTCGTGCGGGGAGCCGTGCGGTGCTTCCCTGGATCCGAAACGGGGGGGCGAGGTGCATTGCCCACACAGGTGTACGATGCAGTGCCACCCAGGTCCGCACCCCCCCTGCACGGCGATGGCGCCTCCTCAGAAGTGTTACTGCGGGAAAACGACGCAGACGATGCGGTGCGGCGACCCGGAGCGGTCCAAGGGGCGGAGCTGCAGGGGTGTGTGTGGGAAGAGTTTGGCATGCGGGAGGCACAAGTGTGAGAAGAAGTGTCATGGGGGGGAGTGCGAACCGTGCGGCCAGGTGGTGGTTGGGAAGTGTTTCTGCGGGAAGAAGGAAGAGGCACTCGCGTGCGGGGAACTGAAGCAGGGGAGGCTTTCAGATGGGCTGTTTTCTTGTCAAGGCCAGTGTGGACACCGTCTCGATTGCGGGAAGCATGACTGCTCGAAGGTGTGTCACGAGGGGCCCTGCGGCGGGTGTGAATACGTCCCCGAACGGGTGTCAACGTGCCCCTGCGGGAAGAAGAGTCTGAGCCAGCTTGGGGCGGGCCAGAGGACAGAGTGCACGGATCCAATTCCTACGTGCGGGCAGGTCTGCGGGCGCCCGCTGCGGTGCGGCCACTTCTGCCAAGACACGTGCCACACGGGGGAGTGCTCCGCAAAGTGTACTGCGAAGGTTCGTCAGAGCTGCAGGTGCGGCGGCGAGTCGCGGACCGTCCCGTGCCACGTTGCGAACGGATCTGGGGGCGTGTTCGTCTGCACGCGGCCGTGCGGCCGTAAGAAGAGCTGCGGCCGGCACCGCTGCTCGGAAGTTTGTTGTCCGGGGGCGGTCGGCCATTCCGAAGCGCACCTCTGCACGCTGACCTGCGGGAAGAAGCTCCAGTGCGGACACCACACGTGCGGGGAGTTATGTCACGCGGGGTACTGCCCCCCGTGCGTCAACAGCGGCTGGGAAGAGCTGCGGTGCGCATGCGGGAAGACGTCGATCCCGCCGCCGGTCCCGTGCGGCACCCCCCCGCCCGCGTGCCCGTTCCCGTGCAGCTTCGAACAGCCGTGCGGGCATGAAGCGACGCACTTGTGTCACACCGGTTCGCCGTGCCCGCCGTGCCAAGTTCCGGTGACGAAAGACTGCGCGGGGGGCCACGTCACGCTGCGAAATGTTCCCTGCGGTTCGAAGGATCTGAAGTGTACGCAGCCGTGCGGCCGGCTGCGCGAGTGCGGGGTGCATCAGTGCGCGAGGATGTGCCACGTGGCGCCCTGCAGCGAGGTAGAAGGGTCGGACGGGGTCCGGACCGGCATCTGGGGCCGGGAGAAGAAGCAGTCATGCGGGCAGCCGTGCAACGCCCACCGGAGGGAGTGCGCGCACAGCTGTCAGGCGACCTGTCACCCAGGGGAGCCCTGCCCGGAGGTCGCCTGCAGAGAACCGGTCACCATTTTCTGCTCGTGCAGCAGACTCACAGCCCAGGTTCCATGCTGTTCGGGGGCCCCGGGGGGGCAGTCGCCGACCGAGAAAGCGGCAATCGTGAAGCTATCCTTTCCGCTGCAGCCGCTCCCGGGGGGAGTGTCCGTTCCGCTCGGGAAGCGCCAGCTGGCGTGCGACGAGGAGTGCCAACGGCTAGAGAAGAAACGGGTGCTCGCGTCGGCGTTCGGTGCGACCCCCCCAGGGGAGGGCGACAGCGCGGCGGCGGCGGAGGCCTTGCTGGAGATGCTGCGGCGGGAGCCGCAGTGGTTGGCCGCCGTGGAGTCGCGGCTGCAGGCGCTGGGACAGGGCCTCAAGGGCGCCGTGCGGGCGCACGTGTTCCGGAACCTGCCCCCCGAGAGGAGAGAGATCATTCACCAGCTGGCGGAGCGGTGGGGCCTCGCGTCGCAGTCGGTGGGTCGGGAACCGAGGAGAGTGTTGGTCGTTTACGGGGTCGGGAAGGGGGGAAAGCAACAGGCGCCTCGGCCGCTGTCGCGTCAGCCGGTGGTCGAGGAGAGAAGCCTTTTGTTCAATGCAGAGTTGGACCTAGACTTCGGGTGCGTGCTGGAGTTTCGGGACTTGGCGCGGGAGACGAACCTCGCGTCGGCGCTACTGCGCTTCGCAGGCGAGTGCGAGCTTCTGTGGCTCAACGACCGGAACGCGCTGGTGATTTTCGGAGACGCAGGGCGGGCCGGGACGGCGCTCCGTTACTTGGACCATGCGACGGCGTACCGGGGGGCGGTCGCGCCTCCGGCGGTGACGAAACCGACCCCCCGGGGAGCGGATGGGGGGGCGAAAGTTGCCCGGCGAAGGGGGCAGGTGGAGAATTGGCACGACGACGCGTGGGGGGAGGACGAGGGCGCAGGGGGGGTGGGGAAAGCGAAGGCCGCGCCCGGGGCGTGGAAAGCGCGCGGCGAGGGGTTCAAGTTGAAGCAGGAGAACCTGTGGGATGCGCTCGGGGGAGAAGAGACCGGGGCGGCGAATATGAGAGCTTCGGCTGCGAAGGCCGACGATGGATGGACGCAAGTGCCCGCCAAGAGCAAGAAGGGGGGCGCAAAAGGGGGGCCGGTGAGTGAGGATTCGGGGGACAGCTTTATTGGGAGTGAGAGGGGGGTTTCCGCAGGAGCGCCGGGAGCGCAAAGGCCGCCGGAAATGCAGACCCCGCCGAAGGTGATTGATAAAGGGCAGGACATCGACGACTGGGAGCAGATGCTCGACTGAGGGTAGGAGATAAGCTTGGGCAAGTGAGCACCGAACGGTCCGAACTTCGCAAGATTGAAAAGCTGCTGGCATGTGAACGTCACACGAAGTGCGAGAACCTTCTGGCTTGTCCTTTTCGTATACGTCCTCGATTCAACAGATGCGATGGTACCCGGCCCGGGGCAATCTTTCTATTATAGTGTCGGATTCGTGCGTATGTGCTTATAGAGCTAGCGATATAGAACGCGTGCCCACGCAATGCATTTTACGCATGCTCTCAGTGATTATTTAAAGATATAGCATGCATGACGGTGCAGCATTTAATTTTGGAGCTCAGTAGAGCTGCGATCTGAATTGCGCATGATAAATCTAAAGCTCTAGCTCTACGGATCCCATGAGCTGTACATGGACGGTTGCACGCGAGAGCATTGAGTCGAATGCATATATATGTTGCGACATCGATCGGCGCCACACATGGGGGGGGGGCGTCAATCCGCATGACTTGAACTCGTGCACACATATGGGCGCGGCCGGCTTCAATAATAGAACACGCATTGTCAAACGTAAATACGTGGAAAAACTTGAAACCCAAAACGGCCCCCAGCTGCGCTAATTTTGGAGTCCCGTGTCATTCAGTCGGAAATTGCAAACAGTAAGGTCCTAAGCGTTTGAGGTGAAGGGATCGTGTTGCACGCACAGCGTACTACGACGGAAGCACCCCATGAAACAACGACCAAAAAATGGAACCCGCGCAAGCTGCGCTCTCTCTGCAGGAATTGTATTCAGAGACAATCGGGAATGACCCTCGATGTGCAGATACTTGTGTGCATCGAACTGTGATAGTCTCGTCGGCACTTCGATCAGCCACCTGAAGTATATCATGTTTTTGAGCGTGACACTGACATGTCTCGATCGCCGTTGTTCTCCAACAAAGGATCAGTCTCCGTCAAAACGTAAAATACACGATGACTTCAATGTACACGACAGTTTCAATCTGCGAATCACACCTTCGGGCTGTCTTCGACTTGGACGCTAAGGACTGATTGAGGGGTTTCTGATGCTGCAGGGAACTTCCTTCTGTACCTTCCTTCAACAACCAGGGCTGCACGGAAAGTACACAATCTGGTGCTCTACCCTTGACATATGGTGCGACTCAAGCTTCGACGTTGAGATAATGATCCTCTTTCAGGATCCGCGTGCCGCTGCATCTGCCTGGTTTTCCTCCGCGTCTGCAAGTCTCCCTAAATTTGTTGAAGTCCCTGTGAAGCAGGATCTGCAAAGGGCACAAACAATTCCATCAGAAAACGAGTTCAGACAATTTCAGACAGAAGCATATCAAAGTTTAGAAAAGCATCCTTCCAGTACAACAAACCCGCCAGGATACCGAGTCTGCGTCTCTTGGGCGTCTCCCAAAAGCACAGCTTGCGTAGAACAAACCGAGGGGAGCAAAACATTTTAGCGCCAAGCGCCATCTTTCCGCGCTCCTCCTGGTACATAATCCCAGAGCTCCGCAATCTTCTTTGCGCGTACTCGCGCGCATAGTCACAGCTCAGGCTACGACCAAAAGAGCGGATACGAGCCAACCCACCGACCCCCACCTTTTAGCGCTCCTCCTGGTACTTCTATCCCAGCTCTTCACCTCGCTTTTTGCGTATGCGCCCGCATCTTCCCAACTTAATATCCAAACAACAGGAAAGGGCGACAACTTACCGAGCCCCAGCTTCTTCCACTCCTCCCGACACTTCGTCTCGAGCTCCTCGACCTGCTCTGCGTCTGCGCACACGCATCCCGGCTTCGAATCCAAAAAACAGGGAAGAATGACGACTCACCAAGCCCCAGCTTCTTCCGCTCCTCCTGGTACTTGGTCTCGAGCTCCTCTATCTGCTTCGCGTGTATCTGCGCGAGCAGGCGGTCCTGCTCGGCGTGCCGCAGCTGCAGCAGCCGCCACTCCGCGCCGAACTCGAACTCGACCGTGTTGGGCTGCGACGCGTGCGCCACCGCGATCGCGTTGATCTGCGCAAAGGAGTGACGTCAGCAAGCGAAATCAGATTTCGTCATTGGATACTAGATGACGTGAACAGTGCGGCAGACGATCACGCCAAGTCCGCGCCGAACTCGAACTAACCCGTGACGGTGTACCACCACAATTGCGTTGACCGTAGCCAGTCAGCTGGAATCAGTGACGTCAGCGAGCATGTGTGAGATCATTGGCCCGGCAACAGAACTCGTATTGAGCGACTTGAGCTGCGATGCATGCGCCACCACGTCACTAGAATGTAGTCATGGGAAAGTAGACCTAGTCTCCCTCTTGAAGTTGTTCGACTCTACTGTTTTGTATTTGTTTTTTACTGGGTACGATAGTGCTAGGTATAACAAGCTCGATCGAAGGAATGGTGGGGTTAGATTGGGGGTTGGGGTGGGAATCTGAGTGCAGAGCGCACAATCTATCGGTTCGATTATTGATTTTTATTTATTTCGCAAACTGTTCTTATCCTACCTAGAAGTTATCCTACCTATGTTACGATAATATTTGGCGTGAACCCCCACCTTATCCTGGTAGTGGCTGTTGCTCTCGGGTCGTCCGATGCTGATGGGCCCCGCAAACTTGTTCTTGATCTCCATAGGCTGGACCCGGCGGCCCAGGACCGGTCTGCACAGTTTCACAGTAAGCCATCAGCCTCCACTCCGATACTCATGAAGCCTTTCAGAGGAAATTTCTGTCCGGTTCATCGAAAGAAGGAGGTGTGTGGTCAATGGCACGTCGGACGGCCTTTTAGAAAAAAGAGTGCCCGTTCGGTTAAGGGAAGAGAAGAATCTGGTCAGGGCACGTCGCGAACAAAGCTGCTCGGACAGTGTAGCCGCAGCATAACCAGATGTATCAAGTACGACATAAAGTAGAGCGTATCGAGCAGCCATTCAATTAAGCGTCCCTTTTCCCGTCCTCGACACAGGAAAAGACGCAGAGCTTAGCTTTTTATCGGAAGTTCTAGAACGGACTCGAAGCACCGCCAGAGTTGGAGTTTTGGAACGGCGACGCCAACATCCATCTATGCCACAACATGCGGACAGGCTCGGGTCGTTCCGACCCGCCGCTTACCTCGGGGGATCCCCCACGCAAATCAGGTACTTCCGGAGCTTCAGGGCCGCTGCCGCCGCGCTCTCTCGCATGTCAAATATGGCGAGCGCCGACGCTGCCACGTGGGGCTCCGCCCGGAGCGACGGCAGCACCTCCACGTCTTCCAGCCCGGGGAACACGCCGGCCAGGCTCCGCTGAAGGCGAAAGAGATGGCGCGATCAGGATCCGCAGCTCTCGGGAAGTGTCTGGTTGACGAGGATACATTTCGATGATGCGTTGGGCAGACTCTGCGTCGTCCAGCTCGGAGAACGTCCCAGCCAGGCTCCGCCGAGGAAAGAAAGTGAGCGCTTCATCTTTGGCGCAGTGAGGACCGCAGATTTCACCGAAATATACTGCCATCAGACGATGGACGTCATTAATACGTTGGGCAACCTGTTAGTCGTCCAGCCCGTAGGAAACACGCCGGCCAGGCTTCGCTGACGGGAGGAGGACTGATGCGCTGTGGCGCACATAACATCCGCATATCCTACAACAGCAAGACGTTGACTAAAAGTTGATGCGGAACACGTGCGGGCCAGACTGTAGGTACTAGGAGTCCAAGCAAATCAAAAAGAGGGAGCAGTAGTTGCAGATTCGCCCTGGGAAACGGTGCTGGACGTAAAGGCACTGTTAAGTCAGTTATGTGGAGTCTGGCTTGGAAATTGAGACACAATTGCCATCGGAAAGTAAGCGGCAAGGCTCTGCTCGAGAGAAAGCATATGAAGCTTCGTGGGGTTCACGGTCCGGAAAAACTAGCGAAGCGAGATATGCGGGAAGAGATTCAGGAAGGTGTGACGGGGTCGCTTGTCTTAGGTTCTTTTGCAGTCAGCTCCTCTGCGATTCGACAACTTTTCTGGCTGAAATTGAAACGCAAGATAACGCTTACAAGAAGGAACCGAGAAGGCACGACAGCAAATAGGGGGTGAGCGCACCAGGAGCTGGCGGGGGCTGCTGCCGGGCGCGAGGTTGTCCAGCTGGAGCACCCGCTTCTGCTCCAGCTTCTCGAGCAGCGCACGGCGCTTCCGCTGCACGGAATGCGGACAAGCAAGTATTAGGGTCTTGAAGACTCTCAAGCTTTTGGGGTTTGAGGGGGTTCGGTGAAAGGAAAGGGACGCAAGAGCAGAGGGAATGTGAGTCATTGAATAGACGGGCGCAAACAAGCGCAGAGTCGCATGGGGGAGGGCAAAGCAAGGCGGTGGACGCAGACCAGCATAATGCAACAGGCATTTCCGAAAGAGCGACAGATGGAGATTGCCGAAGCAAACGATGGCTGCAACCATCGTTTCGACGGCATTGAGCACGCTCTATGATAAACCCCGTTCTTGTCCAGGCGTTTCGATGCTCACCTCTGCTGCTGCCTTCTCCTCGGATATGGCACTCTGCAAACACGCAAAGAGAAAGAGTGAGTAACTCAGGGCGGGTTTCAAATCTTAGAAGGCTTGGGCGCTGGGAAAGCTGGAAGCAACCTTCGCACAGAAACAGCACGCGTACTGCCAGCCTGATAAGAAAGCGAGAAGCAAAGGAAACGGTCGCCTTTTTCTGGACACACTTTGTGCTCAATCTTTTGGACTGAAGGGGTTCCTCCGTGCTCCTCAATGCTGCTCACACGGAAACCTCCACTCAGAACACACCGCGCCCTCTCTTTCAGTCACATCCACTTTCAGAAACGAAAGTAATCAAAAACTCTTTACCAAAGATCACTTGCAGCCCATACAACCCCAACGCCTAGGCCGACCAACTTTTCCAGTCTCAAAGGCCAAAAACTTTTAAACCAGAATCCCCAGATCCAGCACCTTGCGCATGGTGGAATGGTACACATTTTCAAAGCAATAGTACATTCAAGAACACCACGACCTCAACCCACTGACAAGCCAGAAGCTGATGAAACCCCGAATTCCATAAACCATCTGGCACCTTGCGCATGGTGGGGTGGTACGTGTTCCCCGCCAGCTCCCGCGTGCGCTCCACTTGATCCTCCACCTTCTTCTTCTCCCGCGCAAACATCTCGGCCAACTCCCGACGCTCCTGCTCCGCTTTCCCCATCTGAGTCCGCATCGCCTCGTCAAAGCTGGCCTGCTTCTGCGGAAGGGGCTTCTTCGCAGCCACAACTTCTTTCTGAGGGGGTGCGACTGCGACTGCTTTTCGGGGGGGTGCGACCGCGACTTCTTTCTGGGGGGGTGCGGGAGCTGCCTCCCTGGGGGGAGGGGGAGGCGGGGGGGGGCCTGCCCCGGGGGGCGGTCCTAAAGGCGAAGGGGATGGTATTCGTTCTGAGGGTCCTGTCTCGAACGGTTGAGGAGATTGTTTCTCTGGTACGTTGACTCCGAGCGAAGGAGCAGTTCTCTTCTCAGGCTGTGTGACAGCTGGCGCGGATGATGACATTTTTCGCTCCGACTGTGCAGTATTTGGAAGGGAGGGGGACGGTTTATGCTCTGCCTGCGTGTTCGCCACGGCAGATGGAGAGGGTTTGCGATCTGCCTGTGCGTCTCCCAGAGGAGAAGGGGATGCTTTCCGTTCCGGCGGAGGCACTGTTAAGCGGGACGGAGACGGCTTCCGGTCCGTTCCGTCTGCCCCCTGGACGGAACCCCCGGGGGGCATCCCCAGCGGGGAGCGCGGCCGGTGGGATCCCTTTGCCACGTGGGCGATCTCGGCGGAGGGCTTCCTTGCCTCCAACAATGACGCACCCTTCGGAGCAGCATCGGTTCCGCTGCTCGAAGCCAAACCCTCCCCATCCTCCGCCTTCTGCACAGAAACCCCTGCCTCCCAGCCAGCCAGATTCACCCCCCCAGAAAGCATCTGCGCCGGTTCTTCGCTGAAGCGGGTCGCCGCAGGCAGCCAGTCGTCGGCCGGGGCGCCCGGTGACTCCTGGAAGTCGCGCTCTTCGAGGCGGCGCAGCTCGTCTTTGACGCGGAGAAGCTCCTCCTTCTTGACCTCCCCGTGTTGCTGCCGGTAACGCTTGGTGAGGAAGTCGCCGCCGGGAAGGTCCGCGTAGGCGCCGCTTCCGGCACCCTCCGGCTGCAAGATGTCAATGGGCAATGCTCAATAAATGAGGTGCAATGTTGTTTCGTGGCTCTCGAGATCTCGATTGGGGGCTAATGAAGCAGACTGAATATGGTACCTCATCTTGAAAGGTCGAAAGGCCCAAAAGCTCCATGAAGATTTTCTTCGGTCGAAGGTCATGGTAGCCTGCTAAAGTACCAGTGGGCAAGGCTGGCGATGGACAGAAATGTAGAACAAAACTTCTACGATGGATCCGACAGATTACCAAGGTATCAGACCCAGCCAGAGGGGCAAAAGGAGCCTCTTTGAGTCTGTAAAACATAGCGAGCGCGTCTCTGTTTTACTTACGGTGCCGTGCGGCGACTCCTGGAAGTATCGCACGTGCACCAGGGGGTCCGCCCACTTGACCTTGGTCGGCCGGAACGCTTCATCGTTCTCCTCATACGAAGGGCCGTTGCTCCGGAACGTCGACGTCATCCCGCTCAAGATTTTCTGCAAAGGATTGTCCTCCATGGGGGGGACCGCCGGCCGTTTTCCAGACCCCTGTTTCTGAATCTCCGGCTTTTTGGGGGGTGCTCCGGGGGCCCCGGATTTTGGCGTGTCCGGTCGTTTTGGGGGGGCAGCGCCGGCGCCTTTGAAGGAGTCACTCTTTTTCAATGAATCGTTCCTGGTTAGAGGGTCGCTCTTCTTGAAGGAATCGCTCTTCTTCAGAGAGTCGCTCTTCTGCAGAGCTCCAGTCTTGTCCAAGGAAGAGCTCTTGACCAAACTGTCGCCTTTCTTCAACAAATCGCTCTTCTGCAACGCCTCGCTCTTCTTCAAGGGGTCACTCTTCTTCAGCGAGTCGCTCTTCTTCAACAGATCGCCCTTCTTGAGGGCATCACCATCCTTCACCGCCCCACCCTCCGGTCTCCCCGACCCCGACCCCTGTTTCGTCAGCACCTTCTGCGCCCCCCCTTTTATCGGCCGCTCGTCTTCGCTGCTGCTCGTTTCGCTGTCGCTGCTGTCGCTCGCACTCTCCAGCACCGGCTCTTTCCGTTTTGGGGGGGGAGGCGCGTCCAGGCCCCTCAGCAGCTCCGCCTTTTGCTCCCGCTCCGTCAGCTTGGGGCCCGCCTTCTTCTTCACTGTCACCCCCCCCTTCGCGTCAGGCTTTTTCAACCCTAGCTTCTTTTGCACAATGCCGCCCAAACCCGGCTCTGATCCCTTTGCGAGCGCTGGCCGCTTTCCCTGAACATCTTCCGGCTTATGTGTCTTCACCGGTCGTTCCAAATCCTTCTCAGGCGCCGGGGGCTTCGCCTTGGTGTCTCCCGGCTTTTGGATCTTCAGCGGTCGTTCCGGAACCCCCTTGCTCGGCTCCTTCTTCAGCCGGTCTACATCCCCGACAAATTTCAAAGGCCTCGCCCCTTCCCCGACCTTTTGAACTTTCGCAGGCCGCTCGGTCTCCCCCACCTTCTGTGCACCCCCGGCAGTCCCGCTACTTCCCTTCGGCACCACCCGCTCTTCCGCCGGCCTCTTCCCCAAAACGCTCCCCTCCTTTTCTCTCGCACGCAGCCCCAACGCGACCTTCTTCGCAAGATCCGCGTCCAAACTCGTCCTCGCCTTCGCTTCTTTCACTTCTGACGGAGACCCCTTCTTTCCAAGAAGCGCTCGCCTCTCTTCCAGGAGCTTTTCATATACTTGCTTCGAGTCCTTCCCTTCCTTCCCTTCTTTACTGACCGGACGCGCACTGGCCCCCTCTTCTCGTACCTTTGTCAGCAACTTCGGTTTCTTTTCCACTTTCTCCCCCCCTTCCACCGTCGTCTTCCCCAGCTTGGGAGGCTGGCTCAGCCCCACACCCTTCGCCCCGTCCTCTACTTTGACTGACGCACTCCCCCCCTCCTTCGCGTTGCCTTCGGCAACCCCCCCACTGGCCGGCTTTACTCTGGCCTCGCCCCCGGAACCGCTCGCGCCGACTTTCGACTTCGCGGGATCACCCAATGGGCGCGCAACTTTCTTAGCGGGTTTTATCGTTGCCAGGGGGGTGTCGGAGTCACCGCTGTCACTGTCCGAGGCGTAGCGCTTGGCCTTGCCGCTGGCCTTGTAGTTGGACGGCCGCAGGACGCCCTCTGCGGGACGGGCCGCGGCAGGATCGGACGGCGCTTGAGACGGGGGCGGTTCGGGGGCCCCCGGAGCGGGAGGGGGAAGGTACTGGTTGTTGAAAAGCAGTTCCGCTGCAAGCAAGGGTCTAGGCTTGAGACTGACCTTCTCCTATAAATTCTAAACTCTGGTAGTGCCGGCACTTTGCAGGTAGTTCCTTATGTGTCTTTCTGGTATAAGCCCGTGGCCTTTGTCTTGCGCGCTCACTTGCAACACCCCTCAATGCAGGGAGACCTGTGAGCAAATGTTTGGTCACACCCCCTGACCTCGTGTACTCTAGTCGTGAACCTTTTTTCGAGATCTTACGCTTGAGGCAAAGCCTCTCTCAGGCAGGAAAGAGCAGCTTGCAGAAGACCACTGCATAACGAACCCATCATGTCACCTCAAAGTCCCTCCTCCTTTGCCTCGACGCGTATGGAAGACCGCAGAACCTATCAGACGAGCTTCAGTTGGCCTCCCCCTCACCTGACAGCGTTCTGAGCACCCCGGTGAGGCTGTTGACCAGCAGTCCCGGGCTGGCGCAGTAGGAGCTGTTGAACCAGTGCTCGCAGCCCGCCACCTCTGCCGTTGACGGATCGCGGCAGCGGGGGTGCCGGCCTGTGCAGACCATGTTCACCTTGCGGATGATGGTTTGCTGCACACCCAATAAAAAGAATCCTGACTCTATCGTCGAAAGGCGGCTCGGATTGGCAACAGCCAGAGGGCTAGAGCTAGGCCAGGCACTGCTTATCCAGCTGGCGCTTGCGTGCCACTGTTTTCCCCACCGCAAGCTCGTCTAACAGGGCTTATTAGCCCACGAAGTCACCCCAGACAGACTGTTTCGTAAGTCGGTCTAGTCTTTCTTTGACGGATGTCGGCAATTTGAAGTTCCCACCTCTGAAAGTGAGAGGCTCAAAGTGACCCAGACCTGCTCGAGTAGTGCCGAAAAGGTGACAGAGTGACCGTTCGGCAATATCTGCCATTTGAACATGATGCAGGGGCATGTCAGCGCGAAGAAGTAATCCTTACGCAAGCGGCCCCCATAACCCGGTTTCTGCAAGGGCACAGCTTCTCCAACTGCAGCACCCTATTGCTTTGGCCTCCCAGGATCTTGACACAAAGGACAATAAACCTCTGCCAAGTGGCAGGCAGACATCCAGTGGATGCTTAAATGGGAAATCTCAACATGAAGGCAAGCATTCAAAAAGGTGCACCTTCATGCAGTATGCAAAAGACCTCCGCGTCGCGACAGGTGGCGCTCACCAGCTCGTTCTCGTCCTCAACCCCGCTCATATCGCTTTGCCGCTCATTGTACGAGATGAACACCTGCTTCTCCTTGTGCGCCCGCTTGTGCAGCGGCAGCTCCCGCAACGCGCGCCGCCATTCTCGCAGCCCCTGCGCGTCCGCGCTGACATCAGCGTTTGGCCGGAAGAACCAGCGCACGTTGCACCACTGCTGCGTGCCCGGCCCCTCGTCCCACAAGTCCACCAGTTTGCCAATAAAATGGGGCACGTTCTCGTCGTTGCTGTCGAGCAGGCACACGTCGCCCAGCTTGAACGTGTCCCCCAGGCGCACAAAGCTCTTGAAGTGGCGGAAAGTGGTCGACCCATCGCGCCGCTCGTGGCGGAGCTCCCCCCAGGGGAACATCACGATTGCCGGTGCTTCGTCTTCATCTTCAGAATCCTCGTCCTCTTGGTGATCAGGGTCCAGTATGTCGAGAGCCATTGTCGCTGCACGGCTAACCGGTCCGAAACAAGGAATCTGCATGAAATGTTTGGAATATTGGCCAAGGCTGGGAATGAAGATCTCTGTGCATAGATGTTTTTGAGTCGCCTTGGCTCTCTGTGTTTAGCTCCTACATCTTGCCTCGCAGCAAAGGTTGAAAGGCGTGCTGGGAGCGGCGTTGCAACTCAGTATGCTTCACGAGTCACTTTTCTTTGTCCGCTGCAAACTAATCCTGACCACTTTGCACACTGCTTTGCTTTGAGTCATCTTGTGGGCCCTTCAACCAGAAAGTAGCCTTCATTGACTGTTACTTTGATTGCTGCAGTCTTGAAAGCAACTTCTGCCACAAGTATTGAGGAAGCGAGCACTGCTGAGAAGTTGATGTGTTGGAAAGCATGTTGAAGATTCTTAAACCTTGATATCGAACTGGAAAGAATGGAAATATCTTGGACCCTTTATCTGAGCCTCTCTCAGCTCACCCAAACTAAGGCTGAGATTAATCACAATTGGCTGTCCGCCGCCTGCTGTTCACCGCCCCCATCACACCATGAACTGAGCCTTTCAAGCATTTCCTGACGAAAGGACTTATTCGGGGCTGGTCGCAACAGCACGCGTTTGGGTGGACGCGCTTCCACTTGCTGTCATCCGTCGAAAATGCTGCAAACCCCATGGCCAGGCAACCTATGTGGAGGAGGGAAAACAGGAGGTCACGCCTCACCTCTTACTGCATGTCCTGGTGACACCACCTGCCTCCACCTGGGGCCCAAAGTTGCTAACGAGCAATGTGGAGAAGTAATGTCGCCCCCCACTCTTCAGCTTGACAGATACCTTTCCTGCAGAATACCGGTATGTAACACCCGGGACATCATGATGCAGGCAAAGGATGATTCTTTGCATATCGGGACGCCAAGGCGCTAGCTACGGTATGCTCAGCTTGCTCTCCAGTCCTGATCAAAGTGAGACTCAGAGCTGCTGCCACTGGCCAGACAAAGCAAAGTGGCGGGAATTTTAGGGTTTAGGGTCAACTTGAAGGCCCTAAAGCATTCTTGCAACGAACGGTTCGGATCGGTCTGACGGCCAGAGTTGGACGGTGCACAAGCCTTGTGAGAGGGTTTGCGCTGGTACTCGCGCGGTCTCGTTTCGCGTGGTGAGCAGGCGACAGTTGGGCTGAGTTGGGCTGAGTTGAGCATGAGAATACGCTCGATCAGCAAGAAGACTTAGAAGTGCTACGGTCACGGGGAGCAATTTGATGAGGAAAGAATGAAGGGGGACCGACGAAATGGTGGACAATGCGCCTTGTATTCCACTCGTGACATGAGCAATCTGTGTTGCTGGGCAGCCACTAGTCCTACTGTAGTCATACATACCAGCTGTTCAGATCTTCAAAGAACGTTTTTTTGCGAAACAATAGCTAAATGGTTGCCCTGACTTCCTGATTGCATCAGCTCGTGCATGTGGGTTTCCAAGGAGCTCGCAAAGGCCAGCATTGAACTAAGCAAATCAATAGGAAGCTGGCTACAAGCTAACGAGGGTGATCCAGTGAGCTGCCAGCTCAGCAAACCCGAAGCAATTGTGCATACTATGTATCCAGGAACGCTGAGGGCCGGCCAGAGTACCGTCACTACAAAAAGATGGAGTCCAGTCCTCCCCTAATGAACGAGAACGAAGGCTCCCAGCTCACTGCTTCAGAACAGGAGCACGCTGCCAGTAGGTCCAATGCTGCAGGAGCTGGCTCTCCCTCTGACAATCAAACAAACGGTGCCTCTAATGTAGCGAGTATGGCAAAGGCAAGCGAGCCACATGACGACAGCCAGGGCTCAGCAGCTGACAAGCGCAGCTCAGACTTTGTCCTGGAGCCACTGAAAGTCAGCCCCAGCTCAGAGGACTTGTTCAACACCGGGGAGCTCTCTGAAAATTTCCAGACCAGGGGGGTGCGCGTGGTGGTGCGATGCCGCCCCCTGCTAGCACACGAAAGGGACCATGAGCAGCAGTGCATGACCCTGGATAAGGAGTCCAAGAGCGTCACTCTTCAGAGGTGAGATTGAGCGTGCACAGTCATCAGTGTTCGTTGCAACGAGATCTGATTTCAGCTGACACCAATGCTGGCACACAAGGTGCACGAATCTAAACTAATGGGGACAGCATTGCATGAAGTCACAGTGGTGGTGGTTAATCAGAGGATGATACTTTCCTACGGAGTCTTTTAACTATGACTACCAATTTGCTGTGATATTGACTACCACCACTCTCAGTTGCCCCTATTGAGCTTTCAGACCCAAAATATAGTGTGGTGCCTTTACGGCAGTCTTATATACTTCTTCTAAACAATGCTGCACTTTTGTTGCAACAGTAAGAACATCGACGAGCGCATGCGCCACTTCTTCTTCGACGAAGTCCTCGATGAAGGGTGCAGCCAGCAGGAGGCCTTTGCGCGGGTGCAGATGGGCCCCATGGTGGAGTCGGTGCTGGCAGGCTACCATGCCACCGTCTTCTGCTACGGCCAGACGGGCTCAGGTGTGGTTAACGCTCTTTTCTGTTCAAGGGTGCTTGTATACGCGGGACGGAAACTGAACATTGTTGAACACGTCTCTGTAGTTGTACCTGGGAAAAAGTTCTATGTCTGACTTACTCGCGCACAGTCAAAACTACTGCCTACCGAGGAATTTTTCAAAGCGAAACTTTGAACCGTTTGCTCTGCAGGCAGGATGCAAAATTGACGTCCTCACATTCGCTTTACCATTCTCGGCTTCAGCAGTCCGCCTCAGACTCCCCATATCTCCCAATAGTCAAACCCGCCCTTTAATGCTGCCTGTGCAGGCAAGACGCACACGATGGAAGGGTTCACCTACCGTGCCTCTCGGGGAGCGGCCTCCCCGAAGGCACAGCTCGACACGGACCCAGAACAGCTGGGGCTGATTGCGCGCTCCATCTCGCTCCTGTTTGAGAGCATCAAGCGCAAGAAGAAAGCGGAGCCGCACGTGACCGTCAACGTCAAGTGCTCCATGGTACAGATCTACAAGGAACAGGTTAGGCTGCACTTGCCCAATCAGTGCTTAAAGTCTTCTCAGGTACCTGCCTCAAGAGGACAGGCCATCAAAATCTTGCATGCCAGAGAGTTGCCACGACAAGTGCCACGACAAGCTTCGGATACGCTCCTATTGGCCCCTTTGTGTGCTACGAATCAGCACCGACCATACTCACTTCAGCCAGGCGACCTGGCCAATCCCAGGACGTGATGCCTGGCCGGACAACAGACGAGAACACGACAGATCAAGGAATCACTATCAGAATCTTGCAACCAAACTTCCGACCATCTAAATCTTGCTCCCCCCGCTTGCTCCCCCCGGGCTGACGTGCACTTCAGTTAAATCCAGGGATTATAACCCTCCCCTGCACCCCCCACAACCCCTCCCCCATACCAAACCCCGCTCTCCCACGACCCCACTCTCGGATACTACGTTGGCTGTAACCTGATAGAGGAGGCCCCCCTCGCCAGGTGTACGACCTGCTGAACCCCACTCTGATGGACCCCAGCAGCACCCCCTTCTCGACCACCAGCTTCGGGCGGCCCCTTGCGCGCCCCCCGCAGCAGGTGCTCAAGGTGCGCTGGAACCGGCGGCGCGAATTCTACCTGGAGAACGTGTTCGAGTTCCAGTGCGCCACAGCGGACGAGGCGATCGATCACTTCCGCTTCGGGGTCAACAACAAGGTGGGGGAGGATTTGGTCTTTTGAGTTCTGTTGTTCAAGTCTTTATCCATTTTGTTCTGTCCACAAAGATAAAGGAAACTCGACGTTGGTTCGAGTGCGGCGCGGTCAATCTCGGTCACTTTGGCTTCGGGGTCAACAATAGGGTGCGGAAGAGGGTGGTATCTTGTTCAAAGTCGGGTCTGTAGTCAACTTGTTCCATTCTCTTGATTGTAGTCAAAGGTTCACGTAAATATGATGTATGTTTAACAGAACGCGTTGACGAGGCGCTCGAGCGCTTCTGCTCCGAGAAACAACTCGGTTGGAGGGCCTTTTGGGGTTTCGGGCCACAAAAAGTTTACTGTAAAGTCAGCGGCTGTGCTGCCGAAGCCTCTGCTCCAATCTGCCTCGTGGTTGGAGGCGGTGAAGCTAAACTAAGCTTTTGAAGACCTTGACATTAGCTGCAACGTTGCCTCACGACTTTATGTGAGCTCTTGTCTTGTCGGGTCAGTGCCTGACACGTGTCACCTTTCCAGACAATGGCGAGTCACAAGATGAACATGGCCTCCAGCCGATCCCACTCGCTCTTCACGGTCATCGTGGAGACTGCCCCAGCCTCTGCGCCAGAAGACGCCATTGTCAGGTAAGTGATCACGCAATCTCCTCCTTCAAACCCACGATACAGCGGTTTCAGGCCCAAACGCGGCGTAGTATGTTTCAAAGATGCGACTGCCGAACATATCTGACATAAGAAGAACTGTGCCTGTTACGAGGCTGGCGGCCCGCTCACAGTCAGACGAAACCGAATTTGATTCATGATGACCTTCACCTTAGAACATCTGACTAAGTCCGTTGCGCTACATCAAGCGGTGCTTGGTAGATATTGCGGGCTTGAACGGGGCGCCCCGATGCTTTGAGTCACTTGATAGCAAGTGAAACCTGGAAGCATGAACCAAAGCATTGACGAGACAGCACTCGGGGCACCACGAGCGCCTATTCACACAATAGATCCTTCTCTTGCCCCGCGCAGCAAGCTGTGCCTGGTGGACCTGGCGGGGTACGAGCGGTCGGCGCAGTCGGGGTCCACGTCGGGGCAGCTGCAGCAGGAGAGCATCTTCATCAACAAGAGCCTGTTCACACTGCGCAAAGTGATCACCTCGCTCGCGGACCCCCACTACCGCGGCATGCACGTGCCCTACCGGGACTCCAAGCTGACGTGCCTCCTCAAGCACAGGTGGGCCGCGGCGTTTGTCTCTATTTTGGACTTCGTTCCGTGCTGAATTCTAACGCTGTAAGCACTCCGGACAAGCCGCGTAGTATGCGTTTTCGTGTTTCTCGATAAATTCAAACTTTGAATTTAAAAAGCCTATCGATGATGCGTGCATTGGTCTTTCACTTCGCCCCCAATCAAGTTCCCGGCATCGGCTAAAATTCAGAAACACAATCCTTCACTCAAAACTGAAGGTCTATCCGAAATTGTTACACGCCTTTTCTTTGCCCGATCGGAGACTATCTGTAGATTTCGAGCGGCATCTCCTTCTGCGCACTGGGGCCACTCCTCCATCACAACGCGTCGTCTTTATTAGACGAATACTGAAACGTGATGAACTTCTTCCCAGCCTGGGCGGCAACTCGCTGACGCTGATGATCGCGTGCCTGGCCCCGAGCGACGCGTACTGGGAGGACAACCTGAGCACGCTCGAGTACGCGAGCAAGACGAAGCAGATCAGCAACCAGGTGGCCGTCAACGAGGACCCCAAAAACCGCCTCATCCGACTGCTGCGCGAGCGAGTCCTGTTCCTGGAGCACCAACTGGCGGAGCTCACCGTCAGCCCAGTGTTCTCGCAGGTAATTGAAGAGAACCCAGTTTTCATCTTTTAGGCATCTGTTGGCTTAATTCCAATGAGGCTTAGAAGCCTCGATATAGCCTCGTGGATTAGTGTTGCTTGGAAGCAGCAAGACCGGAGGAGAAAGCAAGGGCTCAAAGAAACCGGACTTTTGTATGCTCTGCCTGATTGGCAGAACGGAAAGGTGTTTCAGGAAGGCGATTGAAGGCAGCAGTTGAGTCGCTGCTATGACGCAAAACTTGCATGACGTCTTCAGACAAGGTAAGAAGATATATAGCAAAATCAAGTACCTTCTCTAGATGATTGCAAAGTTCGAAGAAACGTTCTTTTAACCTTATGTCACTCCATCGGAGCACTCTACTTTGGATGATAATAGCTTGAGACTCAGTAGAAAGCAAGCTTGGACGAGAACATCGTCAAAAGTAGAGGGGACACGAGTGCTCATCCAAGATTCAACATCCTCGCAGGGCGGGGAATGGGCGGGAACGCCCACGTGGCAGCCCCACGCGGCCGCGCAGGACAGCGCCGTGCTAACGACCTTCTCCGTCACCGCGCGAACGCCGGCGCCCGCTGCGGACGCGGCCGCGCCGTCGGAGCCGCGGCCAGAGCGCGTGGTGGAGCAGGTGCGGTACGAAATAAGGAGCGAGAGCGTCGATGAACTGGAGATTGGGAAGCGGCTGGTTGCTAGCGTGGACTACATCAAGGTGAGACATCTGCAACCCGATCTTTCTTCTTTCAACTTCTTAGAAGCACCCTGAGGTACCAGTAGTGTCTTGTATGTGACCATAACGTCAAAGCACACCTTAAGGTCGACGGTGACAGTAGAACATGAAATGTTCTTATCTTGTTTGGAAGCTCATGTTTCGTCCGTCCTTCACGCCCGTCAGCTTGATCAAAGAGCCGACGCGCCCGCCCCTGCCTTGTCGATCGTGCGGCACTACTCTCAGCTTAAGTCTGAACGTGACTGGCAGCGGATGCGATCTTCGGCGCCTGGAGGATTAGAAGTTTTCCCGCGACTCTCTTGCAGAAAGTGCTCGCGAGCAACGAGGAGCTGCGCGCGGCTGTGGGCAAGGAGCACGCGAGCAACGAGTCCCTCCAGGCGCAGAACACGGTCCTCATGGAGGAGAACCAGGTGATACTCTGGATCATATCAGCAATTTATATCAGCGGGCCAAGACACGACCAAATGTTTGCAAAGGAGGTTACAGGGCGCTCACAAAATATTAAGGATGTTTTTCATTTTTCCTTTACAACTTCGTGCTCATGCGAGACGCCCTTGTCTGCAATCGCCGATTCTCCAAGTCACCCAACGATGCAGCGCTTCTTTTAGAGGGCTATGTTAGCTGAAGCCCCTGATTTCTGTTCATTCCCTGTTTGCAGGATCTGCGCGAGCGCTTGGGCGTGCTGGAGTCCGTTGTAGTGATGGAGGAAGAGGAGCGGAATGCCGTAGCGTCCATCTCAGCGGAAACGGACGCCGGAACGGAACGGACCGCGGCGGCCGTCCGGCCGGGCACGGAGCACGTGCTCACCGCAGGAAGCGCGGCGCTCCTCGAGCTGATCGAACTGCGGAAAGAAAACAAGGTGGGCTGCTGGAGAGAAACGTTTCTGCCAAACTTAGAAATATGGAGGCCTTTGCGAGACTTCTCCAGAGGCCGAGCACTTTCACTGGCTGATGCCGCTGATCAGAACGGGTTCAGTGGGCGCTGAAGAAAGAAGCGTCGATTGGTCTGCTTCAACGATTACCAGGGTTGAAGCTTGACATACAGTCATGTGACGCCATTTTGCCGGATGTTTATTATACCTAAGTTTCTTTACTTTTAGAAGGAGGGTCCTCTCTCCTACGGACCGCAGTAAGGTTACCTTTCGTTCATTCGTCGCTTAGGTCATCTCAATTGCAGACAACTCTGTTCTGAACAGCGGCGCCGAGACGGTGCAAAAACCTCAGATCCCAAACCTCAACTCGCTGCATTCCAGAAACCTGTGTGCTGCGTTTCAATCAATGCGAATTTCAGCATCGCACTTCTGTGCTTCAGGAGCTTCGAGAGATGCTCCGCCGGTGGGAGACGGGGACCCAGTTCCGCGGCAACACGCGCGCGCGCTCGCGCTCCCCGACCAAGTCCGCGAGCGGCGCGGCCGCGCAGAGGGCGTTCAAGAGCCACACGCACACGTCAGAGCACCGCGACAATAGTCACTTGTTTCGGCGGGTTACGGACAACATTGGCGCCGGAAGTCCGTACAGTCCGAAGCACGCGCGCGCGGTGAAGAGCGCGGGGGTCGGGAAGAAGGGCAACGGGCGGGAGGCGAAGGCGAGTGACGGGCTGCTGACGTTGGAGGAGCTGCGAGGGGTGCTTTCTGGGGGAGGAGATGACGTCAGCGTGGCGTCGCAAAGCGGACGGCACGGGAGTCCGCTCCGAGTGAGGTGCGTTTTATCACCGCGGATCCGAACGATGTGGCATGGTTTATAGATGACATGCTGATCCGCAAAAGCTCTTTGGATGGCTATGATTTTTCCTTTGTCCAACTGGAGCGCAAACGTTTCTGCCGACCTACTAAAAATTGCTCTTCGATCGGCTTTGAGAAGAACTCAAAAGTGGGAGTACTTTGATGGAGATAGCATGCTTTTGAAACTCAACCACCGCAGATTCTGGGCACAATGGTTTTGAATAACTGATAAAGTATTCCTTCTTGCGAGTCTTCAAGGGTTGGTTACTCACTCGATATGTGCGGGCTTCATACTTTTCTTTGAAGCAAAGGCTTAGTCACCGGCGGAATTGTTTCTGCTCCAAACTTTGCAGCACGACTGGCAGGCTGCTGGATGACGTCGCGTCGACATCACCGGCCGCGAACGGCCGCGCCAGGAGTCCTTCCAAGAGCGGCACCGCCCCGTCGTCCACGTGGGCCACGGAAGGGCTAACGTCATCATGGCGAGGTGAGGTCCTGCATAACAGGGCATGATAAAGCGGGATGGCTTTGAAGGGAATCCTGGACGACATTCGGCGCCACCACTCGATCTACGAAAGGACTCTTCTTCCAGGCCTCAAAAATCCGCTGAACGCATCCGCATAAGTACGTGCAGGAACTATCATTGATATGACTGTCACGACACAGCTCAAGCAACAGCAGCAATGCTGACTCGTTCGAGTCTCAGTTGGAAGGCACTCTCCGTCGTGTAATCTGACTCTGATCCAGCTTTACGTCCTGAGCTTCATCCTTTTTGACGTGTTGCAGACGAGCGGCGGAATCATACTGCCAGCGGGCGGAACGGCTTAGACGGCGGCCCGGATTCGCGCAGCGCCACCGCGGGGAGCGTGCCCGGTAGCCTCCCGTCGATAGGGCCGGTAGATACATCCTCCGCACTAGCTCAGCTCAGCGAGTTGATACGGACACGGAACGAATTGACAAAAAATCATACGCGGTTGCCAGCCTATCAACAACACTGAAGCCTTTTAGTTCGCTACAGTGGTTTGAGTCGGGTCTAATAGACTTTGCTCGGTTACCCGTCTACATCCGGGATGATGCTTTATGGGTCTCTTCCAAGCATTTGAGCCTTGAGACCCATGTTGATGAATGTAGCTCGAGAAGCTCCGAAATAGACGAACATATTCTGCTGCCGATCATGCATCAGCATAACGGGTTCGATTAAATGTAACTCACTTGCACACTTTGACCATAATGATCCGTGACGTTCCATAGCGATTCGCATCCGCATAATTACATGCACCTGTATTGCAACTGACTCAGGTGCCATGATTCTCAAGGTCAGCATACTTGAGTGCACTCATAGTACTTCGTTGAAACGAATAGTACTATCGTGCCACAAAAGCTGCATTAGACCGCTGCGGTCGCTCAATTTGAATGCTGCCCTACCGCATCGATTCAGGTCCGGAACGAATGCTTAAAATCCGCTCTCCCTTACCTACTTGATCCTTTATTGTCTACCAATCTTGCCACTAGGCTTTCCACGTTTGGTCACTTTCACGGTCATTGAAGTAACTTACGACGCTCATTGTCACTCGAAGAACCAGGATACGGCGCTTGAAATAAGATCCGCCTCCTTCGACGCGCCCGTTACGTAGACTATTTGTCAGGCTCTCGTCTTTCTTTTGCGCTGTACTTACTTCTCTTTCTCGGCTCTTCGTGCTCTTGGATGTGTTTGTCCGTTGCTGCAGGAGGAACAGAAAAGGGACGCTTCTTTACCTTGCGGCTTTCAGAATGGATCAGAGTTTCCGGTCAAAAGCTCCGTTCTTTCCGGGGGGAAACAAATGAGGACAGGAAATGGTACGCAGGGCATGGAAGCCTTGCTTTTCAGGTCAAGAGCAGGAGAGCGCTGCAAAAGGAAGGGTTGAAGAGACTAGAAGTCTGAGTTGCAGGATGCAGCTTTGACGGTCGGCCCGCGGCGCTCTTCTTGCGTATGCAACCTACGAGATTCTCGGGCTCACTATCTTGGAATAAGAGTCAGTTTGGAAGCGTCACTCACGGAACAGCAGCCTGTCTCCCGCCCCGCCCACTATGTTACTCGCGGCCGCGCTACTGTCTTGTTCCCCGGGGTTGTCCGACAGCCCGGGGAGGAACCGGGCCCTTTCCCCGGGCGCCTCGCCGGGATCCTCCCTGAACACTTTCTCGGTCGCCGGAACCGGGGGGTGCCGGGTCGGGAGATTGGACCCCCCCGCAGCGAGAGCGGCGCTCTGGTCCGAGAAGGACCGGGCGATCGCTGTGAAGATCGGGGAGGCGTAGTAGCGCTCGGGGCCGCGCTCCGGGGGGTGGGGGTCGACGACCTCCGACAGGGGGTCGCAGCGGAAGTTGCTCTGCTTGTTGCCCATACCTGCGAAGAATGGCAACACTTGGTCACAAAAGGGTTTAATGCGCACGGAGGAATCTCTCCAAACACCAAAGGAAAGGGCACGGAAACTGACGAGCGGAAAGTGGGTCGTGCGCGTGGATGGCTCAACGAACGGAGAGATCATTGCCATGGATCTCACCGGTTGCAGATGCGAGCTACAAGCACCGAGTTACAGATGCAACCTGCAAAGATTCGCCATGGCACTTTGGCTCCTGACGACAAACCTCGCATTATGATCCCTCCTGTTATATATGTGCGACGTTTCAAGCAACGGCCAGGTTCTCTACAAGCGTCGCTGTCGGTTCTTTCAAAGCATCCAGAGATTCTCTGACGTCCTGGGCGAAGACCGCCGTCCTCTCAAAAGCTCTTTTCTTGAATCATTACGTGAGCACCGGCGTCGATTCTGAGAAATACGAAGCCCGAGTCTCAAAAAGTTTCTTAAGCGTTACAATTTGGATGTAAGACGTTGCTGGTGAGAAAGGAAGTGCAAGAATGAGAGCAATGAACCGACAAACAAGGATGCATGTTCTGACCTGCCGCCAAATGCAGGAGTCCGACGACCGCGCTTTGAAGTTAAAAAACACAGTACCCGTGCTTAATCATGTAGGGGGACTCTCCTTGAGGGATCCCCGTAAAAGCAAATGCTCCTTTGGGGCAGTTGCAAGGCGCTTCCGCTGCTCTTACGTTGCACAGTCTTGCGCGCCGTAATCGCGATTGGAGTCTTGCAAGGCTGATCTGCTTTGCCCTCTTCTTTGCGCGCTTTGTGCAGTAGCAAAAACCTCAAGGCTTCCGTCGACAAAAAGCAAGTGCATTCCGCATGCGGCTCTTTCGTGCATGCTGGCAATCCTGCATTGCTTGAGAGGATTTTCAACTACGAAGATGTATTCATCATGCCTTCAAGTGTGGCGAGCTATCGGCGAGAGAAAATGCGCTTCCACAGCCGCTTGTTAAAGGCTGCTTAAAAGCAGTTCGGACGGCCTCCTGTCGCCTACGCGGTGCACTTTACGTTTGATGATGCGTTGTGCTTCGATTGCATGGAGCGACAGTATCTACACTTCGATGATGCTTGGACCAGCCGCGCACACTTGACACCATTTCTGTAGGGGAGCAGGTTCTCAGGTCACCTGCACTGAGCTGTTGCTTCCGGGGCGATGTATAGCCAGATACAAGCGCCCAATTAATTCGTGCCTTGTAGGAAAGGCTGGAGTAGGTGTGGCTAAATCTGTTGATCGATGAGTCGAGTAGATATGTGACATTTGATGCAGCTTGGCTCTGGATGAGTATCACATGTACGAAGAACTACAAGGGCCCTGCATCCGCAATTGCATAACGTGTGGCTTACAAGCATCGTGATCAAACGAATTGGACAAAATTCACTGAGTCCCTCCATGAACGCGTGGCCGATGCCTTTGGAGGCGCAAGCATGTGTGCAGGAGCTTTGCCAGACAGCGCGACCATCTTAATAAACTTTGCCTCTGCTGCACATTGCATGTGTAAGTGACTAAGGTTGACTCGGAGGAAAGCAAAAGTATGCATGATCCTACATGCCTCTTGACCGCATTCAATGCCGTACCGGCGTGATTAAGGCTGTAAAACTTGGATTTCGACGGGCTCATGCAGAGGCGCGATTCCTCGTGGATGGCAGCTATTGAGATCGAAGCCATCATCACAAGCACGTGGCGAATTATTTTCTATATGCAGACCTAAGTTGGAAACTCATCGTTGTACTTCGGCTCGCAGGCTCGTGCGATCCCGTAAGCTTTAAATGAGGAACTTCCGGGCCGCCACTGGTGTCGTCCGAGAGTAGAGAATTCCTTAATCAAGGTCTGGCCCGTCCGCTTCAAAGGTTGAGTCGAAACAGTTCTTGTTCGCCACGTATGTACAGGTATTCTATGTCACAAAGCACTAAGAGGTTTATAAAGGCTTCAACTAAACTCTCGGTTGTCATATGTTACACATACCTTATCCCTCTCGATATTGCTCATGTATTGGTGCTCCGCTTCCTCCTGAAACAGCCACGTCACTAACAACGTCAATGCTCGGAGGCTTCTTTTGCAAGCGCAAGCACCGCGTCTCGCAACCTCTCATAGTTTTGCCGATCGTTATACACATGGTGCGAGACCCGCGCGTAGCTCCGCCCGACCCACACCTCCGTGCTCTCCGTCAGCCCCGCCGCGACCTCCCGAGCGCGCTTGCGCTTCTCCTCGGGCAGATAATACAGCGGCACCTCCACCTGCCACTCGTCCCGGAGCCGCGTCCGCAGCCGGAGCGAGTCTTCGAACGAATTCACGCCGAACGCGTCCGGCAGTCCGACCATCACCATCGAACACTGCATTTCCGGGGGGGCGCCGAGCCCCGTGCCCCACGCGCCCGCGAGCATCCGTCCCATCTCAAGCGCTGCTTTCGTGTTGCTGTCGATCATCATATCCACCCCCCCGAGTACGGTGTGAATAAACTCGACTGCGGATGGGACGCACAGCTGCGCGCTGTAGTCCCGGGTACCCACCCAGGCGGATTCTAGAAACAGCCCCCGGTTCAGGTTGTGAGAGGTGACCGGGTGGTGCAACCGGGGCGAGTGCTCCTTCTTGGCGTGGAAGAACGCCACGGGCGGGGGGCACAGCAGCCACTTGTGCAGGTTGCTGACGTAAAAGTCGGCGCCGATTTCGGCCATGTCCAGACGAACGTTCCCGATCCCGTGCGCGCCGTCGACGAAGACCGGGATCTCGTACCCGTGGAGCACTTCCACGAGTTCTTTCAACGGCAGTACGACCATCGGGAGCGAGGAGATGTGGTCGACGGCCGCGAAGCAGATTCGGACAGGGGGATCCCGCTTTCGGACGGCTTCGACCGTCTTCCTATACGCGTCCAAGATCTGCTCGAGGGAGTGCACCGGGAACGGCATGTCGACGAACACGAGCTCGCCCCCCGCGCCCACGACGTACCGCTCGAGAAGCTTCTTCACGGCGTTGTACCCGGTGTCTGCCATCAGCACGACGTCACCCCGGCGGAACCTACCGGTCACAAAGCCGAACAACACGTCCTGGGCCACGATGACTGCCCCGGTTGTCGCATTGTCCACCAGGCAAATTTCAGACGGGTCGGCATTAACTAGGGAGGCGACAGTTTGGACGGATCGCCGCAGATCGGCCTCCATGTTGCCGGGTAGGGGGGAAGGATCGTCAGAAGGAGCGAGGCCCTCTCCTCGGTGAAGGTACTCGTCCGGTTGGTGGAACCACCGGGCACGGAACTCGTTCTGGGAGTTGATGACGCTCGTCGGGGAGGCGCCATAGGAGCCGTGGTTCAGCCTGGAGAAGATTACCAGGTGTTGTAAGAGAATGCTCAGGCTTCAATGCCGCCGTGGCAATCGTGAGCTGGATTGATTGAACTTAAGTGCACGGTGAATCAAGCCGTTCGGGGAGGGGGTTTGCAGGGGCAATTGCTTTGCAGAGTCATAGAAAGCGGATAAGTTTCTCAATTGTCCCAGGATAAGAGGAGTCTCTACTGTTGGTTGTCACATGTGCAAGCGCTTGTAAAAAGGCAAGTGTTAGAGGCTGAGCACGAGGATCTTCATGCGCTCTGCTTTCAAGAGGTTTGCAGAAGATTGCCATTCTGAAACTGGGAAAGCACTCTTCTAACTGACAAGCTTTTGAAAAACTACAAGAGGACACACTCATTGACCAGGAGAGAATCACAAAGAATATCACAGGGCCTACTGCCTATTGGCGGGATTACGTGTCTTGGCCGAAGTCGAAGCCGAAGCCGAAGCCTTAACATTGTCATGTGTCTTGTTGAATACATACTCGTTCTTCAGTATCCCTCTGCCTTGGCCGGTGCCCTTGAGCTTTCCACCAATACCCAATTTGATCAGACAGGGTGAAAGAGTGAAAGGTCAGTCAATCTGACCCCATGAATAGTTTCGTCTGAGCAAAGCAAGCCACTACTAACCAAAATGTGGCGGGGTCATGTGCTTAGTGCACCAGTCTCCCTGACAGATTCACAGATACCCAGCAGTCTTCACCAGACTTTCCCTCGGGGATTCAAGACTCAAGAGTTGGGCCCTGTCAGCTCCTTCGCCTGTGCACAACTCGCTGATCATCCTTACGCATCTGAAAAAAACTCTCGTTTACAACGGCAGTAGCCATACCTGGCGTAAGGAGGAGGCGGGTGATGAGGAAAGTGCTCCTCACGAATGGTCCGCTCCACAGTTCTCAGCGTCAGGACGGCTTCCTCTGTGGTCTCCACACCTGTTGCTTGCGTGGCCACGGTTTGAGGTGGAAGACTCCCCATCCCTCGTTGCTGCAGCACAGCACAGGAGGACTTGAGAGTTCCATTGTAGTTTAGATCCTTCAAAATTTTAACAAGAAGGGACATGTACCAGTGACAATGACATCGTCGAAGATGCAATCTCGATCGTTCTGGCCTAAATCATGGGGCTTCTGCACAAAGTGCTGTGCAGAGGAACACAACTCAGGATCCACGCAACTGCCGGGCTGATTCTGGTTCATATCGACAGTTCAACTGAGACTTCTTGCCGAAAGCCAGTCATAGAGAGTGAGCTCAGCGTCGAGCGCTAGGAGCGCTTTCAAAGAGCCGAAAGACCACTTCGGCAACGTTGAAAGCGGCCATGAATGAGTCCCACTTCGTGGGCGGGTTGGACCTTGAACGAACCCAAGCTACGTATCCACTCACTGGCAAGCGGCTATTGAGAAAGGACTTTTTTGGCCCTCAGCTTTTCACAGTTGCTGCCCAGCCAGTCGCGACGAGCTCAGATCTGCACCCAGTCTTTTTGAGCCAGCTTCAGTCTAGGAAAAGCCCAATCATGTCCGAGTGTTCAGATACTGCAAGATCAAGACTGGAACTGAACCAGTGCACACAATGAGCCTTTGAAGAAGGCTAGTTTAAGTCACAATATTCTTTCAAATTACTGCGCTACTTCTCACAACAACCCGCCTGTGGACACTTTCTTCTTCTGGGATCCAATCCTCATCAATTTGTGCTCATGAAGGATAAGATCACAGTAAAGTAAAGCAGCTGTTGCACGTTATCTCTGGTGAGAAGCTGTCGCCCTTTTCCTAGGAGTACATGGTGGAAGAGCCTCAAGCTAGTGATATGACGGTCTCAAGAGCCTGAGTCGCAGGTTTTCACATGAGGACGTTGGGGAAAGAAAATAAAACCAGATTTCAGTAGGAACATGACGTCGCCAAGCAAGACACCAGCAGAGAAAACCTTGTACAAACATATCTGATTGATTGATTGCACCACTGCTTTGAGTTGAAAGATAGCTGGTTCTTTGAATGATCATGGTGATAAGGCACCAGCACTTTATGCCCCCCCACGATTTTTAGTAAACAACATTGGTTGCTGTGCCCTCCTTGAATCCTCGACATACACAAGAAGAACGATGGCACCACTTGATTGCCGACTTGAGCTTCTGGCACAGGTGCTTTTCAAAAAGGTCTGATTGGACTTGAAAGTGGCTCATTGAAATGGAGCTTTAAGACAATAACTTGTAAGTCAACTGGAAATGGGAGGCACTTCTCAAGGTGGCCAATCTAGGCATCGGCCCATCAGCAACAATATCTAGGCTCACCTTCCAAATCGCTGCGGCGAACAAGCTGCGATTGTTTATTTCTCGAATCGATCAGTGTGCACCACTTTCAACTTTGTATCACTTTCTGTGCATTTCGTTCCACCAATTTCATCAATTCTTCATGTCTCGAGTTCCAGAGTTCTTCGCCGAACATGCTGGCATTTTGCTTTGCATCCTGTTCACGAACTCAATCTGTGCTTATGCAGAGGATGGAGAGCCAGCGAAGAGGTGGGGCGAAAGCCATTCATTGGCATTGACGTTGGCACCTGCTGTGACCTATTTAAAATATACAGAGTTCAAGTTGGTCACGTACCTGCACTTTGCCACCTGTCAGTTTCACAGGGCTCAGCTTTCGATGATTGGCGCCATGCCAGGGGCAGGGCCTGCCACCGGGTACCCGGTAAAGTGCATCTTCGGATTCAACCGGCATGCGGACTCCGGAGATACCGTACTCCCCGGTGATGATTCCGACTGAATAAAAAATTAAGATCTTATCTGCATTCGGAAAGTCAGAAATTCAGATTTGGCATTTGGAAAGCGCAAATTCTGAAAGATTTAGATAAATCTGAAAAAGATGTTGAAAGCCGAGAACCCGCCAGAATCTGCAGAATCAGCCTTAAAACTCTTCGGATTCTGTTCGGAATAACCATAAATAATTCACCTGCTCTGGTCGGATTGTTGGAAAACATTTCCAAACAAATCCATTCGGAATGATCAGTGGGGAGTACGGTACGGTACGTGCCTTTCGGCTTTGGTGTACGGTACGCTGGGTGTACGATTTGTACCGGTCCTCCCCAGAGCGCGAGCCTACCTGGGTAGGTAGGTACTACGTAGGTACCTACTGGGGTCTGGGTAGGTACCTTATTGTTCAAGGCTTCAAGCCTCAAAGACGAATCGCACGGTACCTACCGTAGGTCAATGTCCGGTGCCAGTTTCCGGAAACGCGTTCACGGTCGCGGTTCAAGCTGCCAGCTGGCACAGCTGCAATT